GCTATCATACAGTACTTTTTAAGTCTCTAAAATTGCTCATTTTGGGACCTCCTAAAGGTTCTTCTATCCTCAATGTCCCAAAATGAGCTCTACACACCACCATCTCGAAAGGAGCATCTTAGGAACATATTCATCATTCTTTTTCTACTTAAGTGTGCATTCCACCAATGACGATGATCCTGTGATACTGTCAGGCATCAATAAGCTATGAATAGAAGCAGCATAGTCAAATATTAGATAAGCATGGACTGGTTCTCTACTTCTCACCTACAATAAACACTCCATGAATCACATAAAAAACTTAGGGATTACGATGTTTGCAACCGTGACATAGAATGACCTTACCTTCCAACATACTCTCAAGGAAACCAGAAGAAGTGAAATGGATGATGTTGGTTTCTACATCTTTCAAAGAATTATAACTCCCTTCTTCTTCCTCAGTCACCATCAAAGCACCATGAATCTCCCTTCCTAAACGCTACATCTCTATCAGAATGTTCCAACAACTCTAATTCCGAGAAATACAAAAGTATTTATTCCATTCAGCTAGCATTTTATTGATCAAGCTAATTGTCTTCAATAGTGAGAAAAAATACGATAGTCCCTCACTTTGCATCTTCACTTGAAACAAATGATGAAACATTGTCAACTAGTAAGGACTCTTGGCACGAGCATACATGATTACCACCATTACATCACTATTGAATTAGGGGGGTCTATGAAAGCTGGGATAAGCCCAAAAAAGTTCAAAATATTGATCAATTCCACACACAATGGGAAACGCAAACCAGAGCAAAACTGTTCATAAAAAAACACAGATTTTATATGCATAAATTGAGTTAGTGGTTTCCTCACCCCTCCTTGAGTCACGACATTATAAAAACATACTTCGATTGAGATGTGCCACGTGATCTACCACTGTTTGAGAACTTCTTTGGAGCCTATCCAGTGAAAGAGAATCTCCTTTCCTTCTAAAGCTGAATGCCATTAAAATATCTTGAAGAAAAGTTAAGCACTGAGAGGTTTCAAAGCAAAAGGATTAGAGTAGTAAGACAAAAGGTTGTCCTCTTCTTAATAAGGGCAGCGAGAAGTCCAACATGAATGAATTCCAAAAGGAATTATTAATTACATAACATAAAATAATAGTAGAGATAAGACAATAAAAAGTAAATACATCATCTAGAAAGACATAAAATCTCACAAAAATCATTGGGCACACAATCGGTCCAAAAAAAAAAAAAAAACCGAATGCACAATCATACTATTGAATACAAGATCATGCATATAAAAGAAATATATCACTCTTTCTTGTATCTTCAATATTAATAACTCCTAAATGGAGAAGATGTCAAAGAACCATCCAACCACCAGCCACATAGTTTTTAGGATTTTCAAGTTCCAAGTGCTGCCTAATAAACTTCACTTCAACCTTACCTTTGTAGCCTCTATCTCTTGGCCAATTAAAGCAAGTTATGTTTCAAAATCCATTCTCAGTTTGTGCAACTTCAGGTCAATAAATGAATCCTTGGCCTCTAGTTCAATAAATTGACCTCAAACCTCTACCAATTCACCATCTAGTATAGTGAAATGGTCATCTGATATACATTTATCTCCTAAACAAGAAAGAAGATTGATTGTGTGAATAGGTCCTACCATTACCCTTTCATTTAGATTAGAAGTCTCCACCATAACTAAATTAATTTCTGTAACTACTTGGACCTCATCGACAATGGAATCACCCATTTCAGATGAGGCTTCATTCTCAGCCTTATCTATCCTAAACTCTTTCACATCCTTCCTCGTAGACTCTTCTGAAAGCAAAAAAATATCTGTCACCAAGGGGAGAAGCTCTAAATTGACAAAACTGCATTATGTTACCTCCGATAAGCATAACACCATCAATTTGGCCTAAAATTGTCATTGACAACCTGCTTCCCTGGAAAAAGACCCCTCGTCTACATTGGATCCTCAACAATCTCACCTTAGCGAGAAGCTTAACCTTTAGATTCACTTATGAAACTGACATTTAATCAACTGAGAAATTAGTGTAGTATGAAAGCAGAAAGAATAAAAAGGATATGTGTCCAAAATTCTTCACTAGAAAATTTCGGGTCAGTAGTAGCCATGACAAGATACTATCCACCCCTTCTGGCATGCCAAAATGACGAACCTCCTCCAGATCATTCAAATTAAATGGTTCTTTCCCATGCAAAAAAAATTGGGTTTCGTAGAAGATCTCTCTCCTATCAAGCCTTCCCCGTACGTGGCTACCTTAATAGATTCATCATAAACCACGTTCTGCCTAGATGAGCTCATAGAGGAACCCTCCCTATAGATCCCTTTTCTTCTTTGATATAGTGAATCTCTTATGAGACACTGGTTCTAATTCCAACCGAGACTCTTTTTCCGACCACAAATGAGTGTCATGCTCTCTACGATGAAGAATCACCCCTAAATGGACAAGCAAAACTCTCATCTCTTTCAGAAGAACTTTCTCTCTAGGCAAAAAATTTCTTACAAAATGAACAAAGATCCATTTTCATCCTCATGTGATCCTACAAATACCTCGAAGGAAGTATAATTATTTAAAAATTAAATAACTATCACAATTAATACCATTTATGACATCCAACTTAACTTTTGTGCTTATTTATTGAAACAGTTCAAACAACTTTATACGAAGAGCATACATGAACTCAATTATTTAGCAAAGTTCAACAAGGCATGGTAATCCAAACGAGCAGAAACCGAACTCTCATCAGACCTCAACATGCAGGATAAGTAAGTTTGAATAAACCCTTTCCACGAGAGGACCGAGACGCCTGAGAAAAAAAAAAAAAAGATTCTTGTCATCCACATAAATCCAGGGACTACTCCTTGCAGGAGAATCTTAAAATGCCCCAAAGAAAAGACTAGTTTTACAATGTTACTGATGACGGAAAAAATTAAATCCTAGCAAAACAAGCTGATGAGCCTCTGAGGATAAGAGGAGTCATTCTCAAGACAAGCCTTATCCTAGCCTCGAAGGTGTCCACAAGATGAAACAATCTTCATTCTCTCAATCTTCTCACAGAAATTTGATTGAAGAGACAAGAGAGCTATATAACTAAACATATACACAAATACAAGTATACAAAAGTTTTCACTAAATTTTTCTCCTATTAAAACAAGCCACCGACTGAAGTGACTAGAGTAAGCCCACTAGTCAAAATGGATGAATTGAATCCACCAGCTGAAGTAGCTGAACCGAGCCCACCATTTGAATTTGCTAAACTGAGCCCCTTTACCAAAGTGGCTAAATCGAGCCTGCCTACTGATCCGATCACTCCCATTTTCTCTCAAAAGAGTAACCTAACTCGTCTGAGTTAAGACAACTATTAGAGGAAACCATCAGAACCAAGGACATCCATCAATTCCTCATTTAAAGACGCCACTTAACATTTGAGATCCTATCATTTCACCCAGGTACAGGGATGGTGCAATACCAACAATATCGGATATTTGTCGGAAATACCTGACATCAGTCGGTAACACACTGACATCCACATCACACTTTTTATCAACTTATTAGAGAAAGATGTCATGCAGTGTGAAGCGTACTACTTTGATTATCTTATGGACTTCTTCTCCTATGTATAAAAGGGTATGAAAAAAGAAAGAGAATGACTCTCCCTCCTCTCTCTAGGTATCCTCATCATTTCCCCTCTCTGGAGATTGCTTTCTATCTCAATTTCATAGATCTCTCTTTCTCTCAAATTTTGTGACTTAGCGAACCTCCGAGGACCCGCTTCCCTCTGGTTTGTCGAAGATTTAGAATTAATATATTTTCTAAGATTCGCTTAAAAGATTTTCATCAATATCTCCCTCAACCATATAATGCCTTTTGTTGAGTTATATGTACTCACTAACGATATAGAACCCTTTGTCCTAAAAAAGATTCAACAATATATATATATATATATAGACACACACGAGAGTGTGTGTGTGTGTGCGTGTGAAGTTGTATAAAATAACTAATCAATTTTTTTGGTTAGAAATGATTAATTAATTTATTTTTTAATGATTATATGACAAATTAATATACTTGACACTAATTGTTAATAGTTACTTTCTTAGCCCTGTTAATTAGACTAGTTTCACAAGCTTTTGTTAATATTTAATTAACCATAGCAACTATCTTTTTAATTAATTTATATATAGCTTATTAAATTAATTCATAATAGTTTATCATGAAATAAATATTTTTGTTAACTCATAATTTAAATAATTAATATTAATTAGAAATTTTTTTTAAGAAATAGTAATGACAACTTAGCTAACAGTTAGACATTTAATTAGACTAGTTAATCTATGAAATGATTTAGAAGAATAATTTAATAGCTTAATTATTAATCTTATGATCTGTTTTCTATTTTAAAGATCATAATCATCAATTAATAACTAGTTATGTAAAGTATTTAGCATTTAATGAATTAATGGTTTATAATGAACATATCATCCCGATAATCACCACATAATCTGATCATTTTAATATCTCAATCATTAATCAGTAAAATATATCATTTACTTTCATAATCAGTTAATCAAACTCTAACTAAAATGCCTTATTTCTAGAGTTCATAATCAATAGTTAAGTAATCCAACTAATTCATAGTTAAAATAATCAATCAGTTGACTAATTCATCCAATTCTCATTTTAACCAATGTTATTACTCACTACAAAATTAATTAGCCTAATCATATGATTAGCCTAATTTATTAACCATTTTACAGCTAAACTAACATCTGCAAACTAATTAGAGCATTTCCAACACTAAAAAAATAGAAAAGCTAAACACTTAACACTTGTTTAAGATTTTGATCTAGCCCAACGTCTAAAAGTGTCTTCTAATTTTCATATAGCTGAACAAAAAACAGATAAAATCCTTCCCAAATAAATAAAACCTGATTCTATTGTCCAGAATGGTATAATTATGAACAAAAAACATATTCAAACTCCATTGACTACAAAATGATTGATTCAATTGAGCTAAGAATCAAATAATCTTCAAACACACACACAAACACATATAAATCTATCTATCTATATATACATATTCTTTTTACGGATGGTCAGGGGATATTATACGAGACTCTAGCCATCTCTAATGTGCCTAACAATTCGAGTACCACCTCCTTAATAGCTTAGTTGTTGAGAGTTTTGTGTCCAATTATATATTATCATTTCAAGTAAAAGGGTTTATCAGGACACTATGATGCTCATACACATACTCACTACAAGTTCTCCATGCCAGAATAGTAATGTTTGAAGACACATGAAAAGTCTTTGGATTCATATCCCTTACTGCACATTTCCATATATCTGCAAGCAAATAATTGCGTTCTCCATTAGTAGTAAGTTATGCAGGAAAGAGTTGGGGAGTTCTGCAGTCATAGGGCAACTAACATATTGAGCGCTTCTGATGTGAGAGGACACTTCTGCTGGATCTCTTCTGCTGAAGCCTTTGCCAGCATCAAGTCTTTGGCCTGCACATTGAAGGCCTCACATAAGTACAAGTTGCTGACATCAGGAATATTTTATGCTGCTGTAATGAAAAAAATGTTTGAGGATATTTTCTTCAAAAAATTGTGTTTTTTCTGCTTTTATTTGATTTTAAAACGGTTGTTATTTATTGTGTTTTGTTTAACTATTTGTATATTTTATTTATAAAAAAATCAATTAGTTTTTACATTCAAAATAATTGCTACATGTTTGAGTGTTATTAAAAGCAACCATTGCTGCCGCCACCATTGGAGACCGCATCCACTAGCCCCCAGGCTTCACCGCCGGAGACCTCTACAGCCGCTTAAATCAACTTATTGGATATTCCTCACATATCAAATACTTTTTTTTTTCGTGTTAAAACATAATACAACAAAATTAAGGAAAAAAAAAGTAATCCCGAATGGTATCTATGTTGTACCTAACTGTACATTAAGAAAGAATGCGCCGCACTAACATTGTCACGGATCAACTTCTATGGTAAGGTCGTCGTAGTGATCAAAAAGGAGGGGGGAGCTACTTTCTTAGAGTTTCAGGAACGAACCTCCAAAATGTATACAATATTTGGGCACCCATGATTTTTCCTTATGAAAAAAAGGGATGAATTCAACTTAAATTTGTATTAACAGAACAATGGGTTGAATTTTCTACAAAAAAGGGATGAATTCAACTTAAGTTTGTATTAACAGAACAATGGGTTGAATTTTCTACACAAACAAAACATGACAATATTTGTGAAGGTGGCAACAAAATGTTGTCGTGTTTTTGTGCAGTAATCTTTTTCCCATTTTTTTCATCTTTTTTAATGTGTTTCCATAGGCTTCTTCTATTCCACAATAGAAGCATGATTTTGTTCATCAAAGAAATTGCATCAATCTGATTGAAAGATATCTCGGGATTAGATCTCGCGATGTGTCATCATGTTTTGTACTGGAAAATTTCAGTGATGAAGTCATGTTGAATCCAACCAATGCAAGCTTAATTTTTTCAACGCAGATCATTGGTATGATTTAAAAATTGAATTCAAAATGTTATTTTTATAATTACGCTTGAATAATCAAGAAAAAAAGAATTAACAAGCAATGCAATACTACTGAACCTGAAAGGGGGTTCTAAAAACTGAGCCTAAATAGTTCTAGGCAAGGCTAAAGAGTAATGATGATGATCATGAGAAATGAAGAAAAGGTTCCTCACTAGAGCATTCAGCAAAATAAAAGTGCATTTCAAGCTTCATAGCCATTAGTGATCATTTGCTAAAGCAGAACGCTTCTAATCAATTCTCAAGCACAATATAATCATGACGTATTGAAAAGGGAGTAAAAACTATTATTTATTTACCATAAGTTTTGATGAAAAGCCACCATTATAGCTCCTTGAAGAAGGTACTCCTTCCATAACTCCTGGGACTGGATTATAACTGTCACTGCAACAATCTAATAAACTCTTAAATTTCTGTCGGCGTGTTAAATATCAACAACAACAACAAGCTTTTATCCTATTAAGTTGGGTTGACTAAATAAATTCTTTTTCTCAATTATGTCCTATTGAGTGTCATATTTTCATGAAATTTTGACTGCATATTTTTCTTTCTTTGGAATTCCTTCCATTTTGATTGGGACATACATGCAAGGGTGATATGAATATACCTGCTCCAACAGCGAGCACTTGAGGAGTTAAATATATTAGTAAGTGTGTTTGCTGCAATCCCTAAACGCTGGCCAAGAGCAAGAGCCTCAGAGACCCCAAGCATGCTTACAGCCATTGCCAAATTATTACATATTTTTGCAGCCTGGTTGGAATCAATAAACATGAAAATAGCGTAATGTTAATTAGTAATTAAAATAGAAGGAGAAAACTACAATGTTTTTTTATAAACTTCATTTGCTGTTCTATCTGTTCTTCTATGGAGCAGATGGCAAGAAGTACTGCATGTTTGTAAAATCCTAATCAGATGCATGCATTGTAGATTACATAACATGAGAGTATTATTGATGCCCAAGTTAGTAAGAATGAAATGGGATTAAACTGGATACTAGAGTTTTTTTAACTATTAATATAAATTCCACAATCAACATTTATAACGTCAATATTTTCCATAAATAAGTATCACACAATATATTATAATTTCATGTGTTCAGCAAATACAAAGTTTATGTTTTTTAAATTGAAATTTACAATTTATCCGCATGATGTGAATCAATTATTTGGTCCTAAATCTCATCGAAATAAAGAGAAAGAGGAAATTTCCTACAATCCTAATCAGATGCATGCATTGTAGACTAATAACACGAGAGAATTGCTTATACCAAAGTTAGTAAGATTGAAAAGGGAATAAACTGGATACTGTTTTTTTTTAAAGTATAATATACATTACACAATCAAAATTTATAACGTCAATATTTTCCATAAATAAGTATCATACAATATATTATAATATCATGTGTTTGGTAAATACAAAATTGAAGTTTTTTAAATTGAAATTTATGATTTATCCACATGACTTGAATCAATTATTTATCCTAAATCTAATAGAAATGAAGAAAAAGAGGAAATTTTGTACAATCCTAATCAGATGCATGCATTGCAGATTACATAACATGTGAGAATTACCATTACCCAAATTAGTAAGATAGACACGGGAATAAAGTGGACACTAATGATTTTTTTACCTATTAATCTAAATTACACAATCAAAATGTATAGCGTCAATACTTTCCATAAATAAGCATCATACAATATACTATAATATCATGTGTTTGAGTTGAAGATTTTTAAATTGAAATTTACCATTTATCCACATGACATGAATCTATTATTTGGTCCTAAATCTCATAGAAATAAAGAAAAAGAGGAAATTTAGTACAATCCTAAATTTTTGTACAATCTTAATCAGATGCATTCATTGTAGATTACATAACATGAGAGAATTACTGATACCCAAGTTAGTAAGATTGAAATGAGAATAAATTGGATATTAGTGTTTTTTAACTATTAATATAAATTATACAATCAAAATTTATAACCTCAATATTATCCATAAATAAGTATCATACAATATATCATAATATCACATGTTTGGTAAATACAAAGTTGAAGTTTTTTAAATTGAAAATTGATGATTTATCCACAAGACATGAAACAATTATTTGGTCCTAAATCTCATAGGAATAAAGAAAAAAGAGGAAATTTAGTTCCCTCCACGGCTACCATTTGAGAAGCCTAAAGTTTTAAAGGCTAGATTTATGTTGATGACACTAGTAACCAACAAGAAAAAAATTAAAAATACTAGTATGAAATGAAGTAAAAACACATGAGCCAGTATCCACAATAGTCTTGGATCAAGGCATTTTTGACGTTTTTGTGATGCTTTCATTTTTTCCCATCGAGATGAATCACATAAAAAGCTTAAGAAATAAAAGAAAATTTAATACTAGTTCACTTATGATTACATTCCAATATTTCATAGGGAGTATTTAACTTGCAACAACAAATCAAAAATAACATTAATTATTGGATATGAGTTTGTCATATCATTATTGTATTTCAACATAAAATCCTAAAAATTTAAATAAAATATGTAATATTCTGAATAAATACAATTTATGTGGGTTTCGTCCATTTAGGAGTATGTTCCTATCGACTCTAACTCTAGCTTCAGAAAACTAAGAGAAAACCATCGTACTTATCTTTTATTATTAGAAATGTGTTGAGGTGTGTTTTTTGAAGTTTTTCATGTATTACAAGCTAGTGGAGCATTGCATAAACTTTATTTGCAATAACCTTTAATAAATAAGCATTCAACACAACTATAATCATTTCTAATGAAAATGTGAATAATTAATACAGCCATAAAATATCAAATATAGCCCCAAAATTCATACTGAAAGCATAAGTAAGGCTAGGATAAGCCATTGTAGCGAATGACAAAGCCCACCCAAAAATTGCTTGGTATTCAGGCAACCGCGCATGTGACCCACCAAACAATCGATTCAAGGAAGCAACCATAAAATGTTAGAAATCATTGACATTTAAATCTTTAGGTACCAAAAGGTTTGTTTAACTAGAACATCTCACGTTTATCCATGTGATTTTAAGTGAAGATAAATTATAATAATATTAACACATAACTAAAAGAAACTAAATGCATAAAGCATTTAACATTATAACATTTATGGTCTCAAAGCATCGAGAGAATTACATGAATATCCCGCTAAAGCCTTCACTAACCAGCAAGTAAGACTGCATGTTTATATTCTCGAGAAGATATATAACGTCACTTCTAATCTAGTTTAAGTAGCTCCAAGATAACATTGGCTAACAAGCATTTTGTTCAACTTTTCACCAATCCCTTTCCTAGTGTTCTTTTGTCCAATAAAATAATAACATGATAAGCTAAAGATGTCAATTGTCATTCTTGGAATAAGGGTGTCAAATAATTCAAATGCATAAACATCAATCAGGATTAAGAACAATGTGCTTGAAACACGCACAACAAAAAAACACTTCATTCAAGTGGTTTAACATGAATGAAAGAGAAATAGGGATCCTATAAATAAGGAAACAAAAGCTACAATCAAAGTCTATAAATAGGCAGAGCTAATCAATCCTTTCCCGATTCATCGGTATATCAGCACACAAAGTGAAAAACATGAGATATTAAGATTGCTTGCTTAAGACCACAGTTCGAGCACCTCTTGATATAGTAGTCAGCCCTCCTCATGAGAAGGAAGGCATAAGCATATGGATCCCAAGAAGCACACTTACACAACATCTAAATGCTAAAATATGCACATCTATATTATTATGTGAAGCTTGATTGTGTTAAATAAATGTTCATTGAGTTCCCTCAATTTAGCCGATCAATTTTGCTGTTGAGTTAATAGGGCGTACCTGGGGGGGGGGGGGGGAGCGCCTCGTCGTTGTACATGCATGCCCTGACACTAAGCCAATAGTGCCCCAATGCTCGGAAGACAATGTCGTCACACCCAGTTTAGGATCAGAACCCAAGAGCATGACATTGCAACGCTTGAATGCAGCGCCCTAATGCCCCTCCAGAGCATCGCGACACCGCTGCAACAAAAATCGAATTTTGCCATTTTTTTCATTTAAAGTTTCGATTTTGCTGTAAGGAAGGGGAAGAATATCTATTTTCACTTATGCAAAGGAAAAGATAGGAGTGTCATGGAGTTCCCAGAGTGTAGTAAGACTTAAGTGTGGAGTAATTTGTGTTATTTACCTCATTTTCTTTATAGTGAATTTCTTGTTGTCGTACGACTCCGTGATCTTTTCTCATTCTCGAATTTTTTCATGTTAAATATGGTGTTTTTTTGTGTTTTTTGGTTTTGTGTGCTTCTGTTGAAAGCTTTGCTTTCGATCTTTTAAATCAGTTTCTACGATTTAAATCTCACAACAAGCATGATTTCAAAATTTTTGCATATCAAGAGAAGGACCTAAGTGCTTCCACCCTTAGTGGGAACTTTTGAAACTTAATGCAAGGGTATTAAGCAAACAACATTAAGTCAATAGACCCCCCACACCCAACCCCTTTCTAAAACAATATCTTCTTAGTCTTCTCTTCAAATTAAGAACTTGTGAGCTCTAAGAATTTCTAAATGTTCAACAAAACTCAATCTCATCAGGTCAAAATAATGCCTAAACAAATACTTACAAGAGACCATTCACATAAATGTTGCACTCTAAAGTCATATCACTCTAAGTAGGCACTAACTTATGAATTTTCATACCTCTGAAGTGATCATTTCCGCATATTAAATGCTTCAATGATAAAACCTAGCATTGAGAAAGACGGTGCAATCCAAATCTAAACCATCTGATCTCTTGAAGTTTCCTATCATCTGGTGCATATAATTATTCTATATTTTTTCTTTTATACTAGAATTTAATTTTCTTTTGCCAAATTGAAATGCAACTTTTAGACATAGCCTAAGAAATAAATAAAGTAGCCCCTAAAGTTGCACCCTGCGATACATATCTACCTTTGACTCTAGGGGCAGGCTCTTATTAAAACCAAAATTCGCTGCAAACCTTGATGATTATAGCTGTCCTTTCACTACTCAAAACAACTAAATATATATAATTCATGGTAAGATTAAGGCCATGTTAAGTTGCGGGAGAATGGCGGAGGTTGTCACCACGTCGAACGAGTTACAGTCGGAGCACCTTCTCATCATCGGATATATACCTCGGAAGGAAAAAACGTCGGAGGCAGAATTCAAAACTCAGAAACAATCAACAACGGTCTTAACCTAAGCAAACAACACATATATAATAGGGATTAGTAAATAAAATAAGTGAGTAGAGTAGGAAAGAAAGAGAAAAGGGCATGGGATAGTGAAGGAGCATAATAGGACAATCATACAAAAGGAAGGGGAGTAGAATAGACAAGGAATCAAAAAGAGGGGGACGGCGCGGGCGGGCGGGGGTTGTTGCTAATTTTCACCCCTGGTTTGGGCAGCCAATCTAGCTTCCTTGCTGGACTGGTTCCTTGGCAGAGCCCGACGTCAGTCTCCTGGGATTGATGAAGTTTCAAATTTATTTGAAAAAACTTCTGGAGCCTCATAGATGGTGTTAGGTCTGTGACATTGAATGTAGTTGAAAGGTTGTAGTTTCAAAGCAGGTCGATATTATAAGCATAATCATTCAGCTTCTAAAGTATTCTGAAAGATCCATCTACTCTAGGCTTGATTTTCCCGAAAGCTCCAACTAGAAATCGCTCCTTCAGCATGATCGACGCGGGGTATGCTTAAAACATCACCTTCTTCCTGGACT